CACAAGTCTCCTTTAATTTGAGTCTAACTACTTGTATCAGATATGATTAATCTGTTTGGGACTTGAATTATATTAAAACATTTTCATTAACTAACTAATTTTCCATGCCCACTCAAATGGGGGTTAGAAACACCCTAGGCATGTTACCAATCCAGCACAGACCATACTATTACAGGTAGGTTAAGTGACACTTTCCAGTTTCTTGGGTTTAGAAACTGGAATTCCTTCCTCCAGAAAAGACTGGAGTAGAGATTCAAAGAAGAGGGGCGCATTTGCGAATTTTGTGACAATCTGTTAAAACTAATTAACAAACAAAGCCTTGGTTTATGGCAATAATCAACTGTGCATTATTACAGTTACAATATTTATAATAAACAAATGCCAGATAAGCAACTTTAAATATTCTAAATAATATCAATAACTCCAAATCGGCCCGCGGGCCAGAACCGGCCCGTCAGCAATAATATCTGGCCTGTGGCCAGATTGCTTTGATAGCAGAAAAATAAAAAATAAATAAATTGATAGCGGCTGGTGCTGAAATAGATCTCAGTCATGACAGCTACAGTTACTCACACAACCACTTCATCTTAAGTGATTGTGCCTCCAAAATAAAAGCGCAAGAACTTTTTGTGCAGCAATGCTTTATGACAAGTTTATTGAGAGCTTTTTCTTTGAAGAGTTCTGAATGACATTCAAAAGAGACTCTGGCTTGCATGACACACCACTGAAAAAGCCATCAGTAAACGTGACTGGATTCCCCTGAATTTCCTCAGGGAAATGAAAATAAACGTCCATAGGTTACACAAACTGCAGCACATGCTTTATTGTGAGCATGTGCAAAAGTGTCCTTATAATCAATTTGTTTAACAAAAGAGAAAAAAATACCCACAGTTAATTGGGATTGATCGTGCAACCTTCCAAACGGGAGTCCTGCTCAGTACAGACTGAGCTAAACATACGCGCAAGTATAGAAAGATTTGAAATAATTGGACTTTGTTGTGGCCCGCCATGTAACGGCTTGAAAAAAATTTGGCCCGATGTCAGACTTATTTGCCGACCGCTGGCCTACAGCCATGGACAGATTATGAGATAACGGGCCCCTGGACACAGACGTAAAGTAAAAGGCCGCCCACCCCTTTGTACAGTGGAGCAAGATGGCCCGACTGAACTGCACTGGCTCTACCTCTGCTTACATTCATTCCTTTGGGCACTTTTAAGGGAAGAAGAAAGAAACTGCACTCATAAATGAAAAAATTAATTCATAGCCTTCATACTGAGGTCATATATTCAAACCTACGAAATTAGCAAATATTCAAATGATCCTGTAGTTATAACATTTTAGACATTGCACTTTATATATTTGCATTGTTGGACAAAAGAAAGTGCTTTGTCACTGCAACAAAAACAAGTTTTGAAGGATAAAGTGTGAAAAAAAACAAGTGATAATTTGGACTGAACCTCCTCTGCATTCTACTTAACAACAACCCTCCTGCTGAATAGAGAATGAGATGCATCAGACCATGGAATGGTGTGTTAGTATGCATTGTGACCGAAATTAAGCTTTTTTTCCCCTTCTTTTTACATCCTTGGCATGCAGAGAAATCTGAATTTGAAGGAAATAGCTCTTGTAGGTGGCTGTGCATCAATTCATTACTTCCAGTAAATGTGTTAACAGAGATCCCAACATTTTGTTCATCTTTTGTTTAAAGAAAAGGGGCTCTAGGTTTCTACTGAAGACAAAAATAAAGCAGGAAAAAACAGCAACACCTTTTTTTGATTGTTAATGGGACAAAAATGTCCACAGTATGATAATTTGTTTTATTTCGTCTGCCTTGGGGTAAGCCTGGGTCTTTTTATGTTCCCAGCGTGTCTGCATGCGTTTCCTCCAGGTGCACTGGTTCCTCCCACAGTCCAAAGACATGCAGGTCAGGTGAAAGAAACTCTTAATTGCCTGTAGGTGTGAATGTGAGTGAATGTGTTTCTCAGTCTGTATGCATTAGGCCCTGTGATAGACTGGCAACCTCTCTAGCTGTGTACCCCGCCTCTCACCAAAAGCATGCTGGAATAGGCTCCGGCCCCTGACAACCCTGAGTAAAATGAGTGGGTATGGACCGATGGAGGATCATCATGGGCCATCTAAAATACCTATCAATGCTTTAGCTACTGTAAGTGCATTGTGAAGATCTCACACTGATCCATTTATAAGATTTGCCATTTTAGATTAATTTGTTTTTTCACCATAAGCGTGCTTCATGAAAGACAAAGAAGCCATTCACATCTATAAACAGAATTATCATTATCAACCTTTAAAAAATAAAATCTAATAGCTCAACTTTCATATATTGTATCAAAGTCTGTAGATGACAATAAATCTTTGCGTCTACAGTGTTTTTGTTTAGGAGCATTCTCCCCTGTTAGCTCAAAACAGCTCCTCTAGCCAGAAAGGTACACTTTGTGTAAATAAACCATGAGTACAGGGTCAACCTTGATGGAAGTGCTTACTGAGTTACTGAGCTGTAAAGTTCTCAAAGTAGTTTCAATGTTTAAAAGTGGCGATGCTATTTGCAGTAGTATTTCAAAGCAAAACTGTGTTTTTGGCATGTTTAGTTATTTTTTTCAGGTAGAGTTTAACATCGCATTAATTGAATTACATTATAATAGATTAGCAGTAACAGCGGCAGGCTACACATTTCTTGGGACTGCCTGATCCTAACGAGTCAGAAACTTGTTAAAATCTCTAAGCATATGCAGCACATTACTGATTCACTGACTTTTTCATTGAAAACGTTCACTTCTGCATACTATCACTGATCAATTTTGATTCAAGCTTTTCTGTTCTGCAACATATTATTTTGAGACATTTTTTTTGTTTGTTTTCTGTAATGTTTTTGTTTTTTGCACCTCAGGACCACCGTACAATTAGTTCTAGTATCGCAATTCTACTGGTATGGAATTCTGTGGCACCTAATAGTAACATAGCCATCAATAATATTATTAGTTACACATGTGCTTTTCCTGCTACAGGTATGTAACAAAATGTTGGTTGTGAGAAAAGTATTCAACAATTTCAGTTCATGACAAACATCATTCCTTTCAGCAGTTATGTCACGTAAATAAAGCAAGAACAACAATCTAAACTATTCAATGTCATTGGTGCCAGAGGATGTGATTAAGACAATCAGATCCACCTGTTCTCTGTCCCCGGTGTCCCTAATGTTCCCCAACACAACCACCGTGATCAGAGGCTATAGGCACAATAGTCTCTAACTGACTTTCATTTCAGAAGCCTATCCCTCCAGGTTCTGTGAATGTGTTTCTTCAGCCCGAGTGATTGATCCCAGCACTCCTGAAGAATACCTCCTTTATTTTCCTCTCTGTTTTTCAGGCAAATCTGGTGTAGATGCTAGCTGAGTGAGTGGGTAAGATATCCAGCTTTAGTGAGATATATTCACTGAGAGCATGTCGCTATTACTTTATTGTGAAGTAGCGCAAACAGTATATAGTGTGTCGCTCTCTGCTGATTGATCTTGATTTGCCTATTACTTGGAAACTGCTGGACAGAGCAGAGAGGAAGTCTGGTCAGGGAAAGAAAGAAAGGATGAGCAAGTGGGAAAAAATCTGCATTATTACATATTTTGCCCTGAAAACAAACAGCAGGATCTGTTGAGGATATTCATGGCCACGTGCAAGAATAATGCAAGCACATCAACATCATCAAAAACGCTGAACTTCAAGTGCTACGTTTAGAAAACAAAAAGAGACAGAGAAAGGGTTTTGTTTTTGTGTTAATGCCAGCGCACAATATTGACAACATGACGAATTGGTTACTGTATATACACTGAGGGTACGGATGAGATAATGAAAGGTAGGTGTGTCAACAGATGAGGATGGTTTGGGAATGTGAACAGGTGACCAGGATGGGTGGGAAAGCCATAGGGCATCTGGTGCCTTGTGCCGAGATGTGGCTGGAGGCAGACAGAGAGAGAGAACTGAGCAAAATAAATACGAGTGAGGCCGCCGTCGTGACAGCGTCATCCACAGGGGGAGAGGAATGAGCACATCATGCACTGCCTCTTCTAACCAATGCACTCAATTCTGAGCACAGATTTGGTCTGTGTATGGACTGAAACTCTGTCATACTTCTTTACAAAACCTGCACTCAGGACAGCAGATCATTAGTCTCAGGTTCACAAATTTTTCAATGACCTGCTTTGACTAGAGGTTCTTTGACACTTTCCAGTGGATAATCTGTCTTGTTCAGCCATGTCCTTTTACCCTGCACTGGGTCATGTGGAAAGTTTCAACCATTTGCTTCTCATGCAAAAACAGTACCTCTAAAAGTATGCCCACATACACGTGTTTGTCATAGTCCAAAGCTCACGTGTAGGTTCATTAAAAATCTGCTGTTGCTTTGACTATCATAATCCATCATTTTAAATAACACGTCAGATGTTCCCAACATTCCTTGAATGCCACAATCAGGGCATTGGTGCTGAAGATCATTATGTGTCTTCCCCTCTACCTTGAGGCTTATTTGATTTAAGGCAGAAGGGAAATGATGAAAACAAAAGTAAAAAAAATACGGTAAAGGTCAAACTTGAGAGTTTCAACATGCAGTTTGTTCGTTGCAGTAAAGTAATTAAGAAACAGCCATAACATCAGATTGATAAATTAATGTACATTAATTCATTGTGTTTTAAACATAATATAATTTTTTTTACCCATTATGAGCCTCACAGACAGCTGACATATGCTTATTAGTAAATGTAGAGCAGTAGATAAACTGTCAGGAGTCATTACAGTCAAAGCTACTCTGTTTTTCCCCAGAGAGTAACATCATGAAAGATACTTGTTTTATACCTTCCAAAAGTGATACTTACTGAGGATGTTTGGCAATCTGTCCGCCTTAATGTGTATTTCTTTCTATTAATTTTTAGCAACATGTCATACAGAAATTAACAGAAGGACAAAGAATACAGTATGATATTTTTATGATAGCATTTTTGAATTTCTATTTAGATTTGAATTTATTTCAGGACAGTACACAGTACAGACACAAAGGTTGACCACACAGTATATATACACAAAAAAATAACTCGCTCACCTGCCCATACCACTACATTAACATAGCAAACAATTTGAAGTACATAGACAAAATAATCAGCAGAGTGCATTAAACTAATGCAAATGTAACATACAACTATCACAAATGTAACATACAGGATAAAGTCACATCTAACATAGAAATGTCCAAAGAAAGTCAAGATAAAGAAAAACAAAATAAAGAAAGCCATGATTATATTCAAACTACTGCATATTTTCCACATAAACTATTTATATGCAATACCATTGGTACCCTGTTTGTACCCTGGCTGCAAAAGTGATTTGAATAAACCAAAAGTGGAAATAGATCTCAAGAAAAGAGGAAGGTTATTCCAGTCTTGGGGTTTATATTGACCTGCTCTCCAACCAGCTACAGAAAATAACCTTTGTACTGTAAAAAATGTTGGAATTTGGAGGTGCCTAAGTGAGTATGTCGAGCGATCAGGAATTAAATACTGTTTAAGGTATGCAGGACAGCTGGAATAAAAACATTTAAATATGAACAGAGACCTGTGGTAATCCCTTCATGGTTTAGGTTGCAACTAGTTTATTGAGTCATACATAAGACAATGATGGGTTTTAAATGGACAGTTCAAAATAAATCTGCAAAGGGAATTGAATACTACATTAAAAGGGTCTAAGATTGGACTCAGGGGTATTAGTGTAAACTATGGCTGTATTCGGAACCGCCTACTACATAGTACTGGCAACCGCAGTATGCCATATGTACTGTATAAGGTATAGTATGTAGTATTGTAACAGCTTTAGGCATGAATGATAGCTGATCCTGATCACTGATCACTTTTCTTAGAAAATAATAATGGCCGGCATTTATTTCACAGACATAAAGGAACACAATAAGACACTCTAGTCTCTCAGTTTAACTGTATATCGTACACATTCCAATGAGATCACAAAATTCCCTCCCAAATTAAAAGACAAATTTGCAAAACCCCCGTTTAGTTCAGTTCAATTCAAGAAAAAAAAAAACATTTCACTGTCCGCATCTACCCGGATAGTAATTTTTTTCTTTAAATGTTAGAGGCCTCTTTTGTTTTGTTTATCTGAGATCCACATGAAGGAGAATCCAATGGAAGAATCAAATCTGGATGACAGAACAGGATGGATGATGGGACACTGGACGTCCTGTTGCCTCTCCACGTTGTCCTGTTGTAGTCTGTGTCTGCCTCGTGCTTGCATGCATGCGTTTCTCTCTTTCAAATCGAAGTCACAAAAAAACAACCTGCATAAGGCATGACAAGGGCTTAGTTAATCTCTAAATACTCCAAAACTGTATTGCATTTATTTTTCCCATAATATATATACAGTAATAATTTACAGCATAAAATACAGCTGCAACACACTATTGCACTCATATGGAACAATGTCACACTGTTAGATTAAGCAATTAAAGGTGGTGCATAGATAAGATGCTTGCCTTTGGTGTGGGAGATCTGGGTTCAATTCCCACTGTAAGACATCCACCATTGTGTCCCTGAGCAAGATACTTAACCCCTAGTTGCTCCAGAGGTGACATGTATAGCATTTGTAAGTCGCTTTGGATAAAAGCGTCAGCTAAATGAATAATTGTAAGTTGTACTGTGGTTCATCTGCTCTCACGCTGATTTTTTTTTTCTGTAACCCGTTTCGTTCCTCTCTCAGAAAACATGGGGAATTGTTCTACATATGCGCTAAGGGCGCCCCCTTGTAGAAATAAAATCCTAAAGCAATATTACCACTTCTAATTCACTTTCCAGTTTATCAGGGTTACAGTAACTGTTAAATAGATTTATTTGCAGCATGCTATGCCAGGCTTTGCTAGTTTCCGGTTTTCAAAATCGGAACAATAAGAGGAATATAAATGTAAGCATGCTTAAAACGTATTGTTCTTTTAAATCTTATATGAGAACAAGGCTGCAGCCGACCTGTAGCAGATGTTTGGTTTGGTATATTGGTGCATAAATAAGAATTATATAAAACAAAAGCAAATAAAAAGCATGTACTATAACCACAACTGTAACATAACAGTCCCCTTTCATACCACTATTGTTTTTGTTTTTTTATCAAACTGCTTCTAAGTTACACAAGCCTGTCCATCACGAGCCAGATGTCTCTTGATTTAAGTTAAAACATTACAACATTACTCAGAATGTAAAGACAGAATAACAGCGAATAACAGCAGTACGAACATTTAAACTGTCTCACAGCTGCGGGTCTTTACTCTCACCTTGATGCTCGACACGTCTGCTGCGTTGGCTGCAGCGCTATGTGTGGCTGTGAGCTCTACGTGAGGACCAGGGGACTCCGTGAGCTGACTGGCCGGCTTTTTGGCATACTGCAGATTTTCCTTTTGTTTGCATACTGCATACTACATATACATTTGTGCCACATCAGTACATACTACTAGTATAGTAGGCGGTTTGGAATACAGCCTATGTCTGCACAGAGTGCCAAGACATATACTTTCCTAATAATATTGTCAATGTGTATTCTTGAAGGTGAGGTTGTGGTCCAACCAAATGCCCAAATATTAAAATTTTTCACATCAGCGATTTTGTATTGTGGAAAACACCATACAGCAGGATTTCTTCGTGTTCAACAGAAGTTTATTAATGAAAAGCCACTGTTGTACTTCATCAGAATCAGATTGAAGAGTTCTTTTGACTTGAGCAAATCCCGGTCAGTGTCATCAGCATAAAGCTCTACTTCACAATGAAAACAAACTCGTCCTAGGTCATTGATAAAGAAATGGAGAAAAGAAAGGGGCAACAATTAAATAATATCACTGGAATCCTTGCTAAACGACACACTTTACCTAATAGACGTTGTCTATTAGGTAATAGACGACGTCTATTAGGTAAATAGGAGTTAAACCTGAGCACAGCATGTTGATTCAAACCAAAAGAGTAAAGCTTATCTAATAGAACGTAACGGTCAACCATGTCAAAGGCCTTTGAAAGATCAATAAAAACCAGCACCAATGAAATTACCATTATCAATACACAAGAAGACATTATTTGTAAATTTTAAGAGAGCAGTTGAAGTAGAAAAATTGGATCTATAGCCAGATTGATGTGGAGAAATAATGTTGTAATTATTGATGTACTCAGTTAGTTGATTAAACATTAATTTCTCAAATATTTTAGCAACTGCGCAAATGATAGAAATCGGACGATAATTATTCACATTATATTGGTCTCCACCTTTGAAAAGAGGTGTCACTCTTGCAGCTTTCCAAATTTTTGGCACAGTACAGGTAGTTAAGGATAGATTAAAAATATCTTCAAGAGGAAACATCAATATGTGAGCTGCAAGTTTGATAAACTTAGCTTCCAGTTTCTGCACTACACTTTAATTTAATGTTAAGTCATGTAATGCATTATAGTATATCAGTATGTATGATTTTTTTTTTTTAAATGAAAAAGAGCCAACGGGCCTGGAAGAATTAGAAGACCATTCCAAACCATCAGCGCAAACAAATTTTCATCTACACACAGACAAAAAATGATTATTAAAAAGGCATGAGCTATATGCAAAGAATCGGATAAAATGTCATTGTCCTTATTTGTTTCACAAAAGTTTTCTTATTTTTGTTAAGAATGTTATTTAAATGATTCCAGAAGTGCCTGGGGTGGTTGAAGTCATGAGAGAAACAGTCTCTATAGTAATTAGATTTGGCAGTCCTAGTTTCCGTTTTGCATTTATTCTGTAACTGTCTATATATTGTCCCATCAGAGTCATCTTTTGAGAAGAATTTAACCCAAGCTTTATCCCTTTGTTTGAATAGTTGAAGTAATTTAGAGTTTATCCATGATAAATGCCTACCTTTACAGTTTCAGTATGGAAGAAGTTCCATGCTTCTTCCACAAGTGGAATTAGTTGTAGCCTGTTCCATCTAATATCTAAGAGATCACGTATGTAATAATCAACATTAATATTTATATTTATATTCTTTTATTATCAGAGTAAGGCTTACACTGCCTAAAAGATCACCTGAGGAAGAGAGATCAAACCAGTTAATATTAAAGTCTCCCAATATGATCAGTTCATTGTGTCTGTCAAGTGAATTAATAGTAGCCAAAATACAATTTAAGGAAACAGTGGGAACAGAGAGAGGTCTATAAATATTTCCAATAGTAAGCTGTTTGTTTTCATGAAAGATGATGTTAGTAAAAAGACACACAACATTAGGAAAGACACACTCAGAGACCAGAATTGTATCAACATAAGTAGCCACACCTCCTCCTCTTGATGTTCAAGAAGTTGATTTATTTCAGTAATTCCATTAAAAAAGTGAAACTTGTATAATGTATACATTCATTCCACACAGTCTGATATATTTCAAGTGTTCATTCCTTTTAATTTTGATGATTATAATATAATGAAAACCCCAAAATCAGTATCTCAGAAAATTAGAATATTGTGAAAAGGTTCAATATTGAAGACACCTGGTGGCACACTCTAATTAGCTAATTAACTCAAAACAACTGCAAAGGCCTTTAAATGGTCCCTCAGTCTAGTTCTGTAGGCTACACAATCACGGGGATGACTGCTGACAGCTGTCCAAAAGATGACCATTGACACCTTGCACAAGGAGGGCAAGACACAAAAGGTCATTGCTAAAGGCTGGCTGTTCACAGAGTTCTGTGTCCAAGCACATTAATAGAGAGGCGAAGGGAAGAAAAAGATGTGGTAGAAAAAAAGTGTACAAGCAATAGGGATAACCGCACCCTGGAGAGGATTGTGAAACAAATCCCATTCAAAAATGTGGGGGAGATTCACAAAGAGTGGACTGCAGCTGGAGTCAGTGCTTTAAGAACCACCACGCACAGACATATGCAAGACATGGGTTTCAGCTGTCGCATTCCTTGTGTCAAGCCACTCTTGAACAAGACACAGCGTCAGAAGCGTCTTTCCTGGGCTAAAGACAAAAAGGACTGGACTGCTACTGAGTGGTCCAAAGTTATGTTCTCTAATGAAAGTAAATTTTACATTTCCTTTGGAAATCAAGGTCCCAGAGTCTGGAGGAAGAGAGGAGAGGCACAGAATCCACGTTGCTTGAAGTCCAGTGTAAAGTTTCCACAGTCAGTGATGGTTTGGGGTGCCATGTCATCTGCTGGTGTTGGTCCACTGTGTTTTCTGAGGTCAATGCAGCCGTCTACCAGGAAGTTGCTGCTGCTGACCAACTTTATGGAGATGCAGATTTAATTTTCCAACAGGACTTGGCACCTGCAGTGCAGTGCCAAAGCTACAAGTACCTGGTAGGACCGTGGGATTCCTGTTCTTAATTGGCCAGCAAACTCGCCTGACCTTAACCCTATAGAAAATCTATGGGGTATTGTGAAGAGAAAGATGCGATACGCCAGACTGAACAATGCAGAAGAGCTGAAGGCCACTATCAGAGCAACCTGGGCTCTCATAACACCTGAGCAGTGCCACAGACTGATCGACTCCATGCCACGCCGCATTGCTGCAGTAATTCAGGCAAAAGGAGCCCCAACTCAAAAGTAGTGCTGTACATGCTCATACTTTTCATGTTCATACTTTTCATTTGGCCAACATTTCTAAAAATCCTTTTTTGTATTGGTCTCAAGTAATATTCTAATTTTCAGAGATACTGATTTTTATAAAGTTCAGACATCACTTCCCGATATTTTGAACAGGCATGTAGTCATCATAAATAGCCATGGAAGTGCCCTGATATTGCAGCCTAACCTCTCTTGGACCTGCCCTCATGGATAATCACATCTTTAACTTTAAACTTGTGCAGCTGGATAGTCACCGGCCTCAGACACTGTCCTGGACTTGGTTTGACCCGGCGTACCCCGATCAGCCTGTCACACTCCACTCCACAGCCAACATCTTGGCGAAAAAGGTGGTCGGATGAGGTCCTTCAATTGATTCCGGTAGCCCACATTTCTGAGGTCCGACACTTTCGCTAACATCTTAGTTTTTGTCTCAGAAAGTACAGCACGAGGCCTCAAGGGCTGATATCCGTTCATCCAGTACATTGGCGTTTCTAGTGATACAATTTTCTGGTCATGGTCATTCACAGCTGCTTGAATTCCATCGAGCTTTGCTTCCAACGATGTGAGGGAAGTTCAAGTCCACCACAAGTGCTTTCCTGTGTTCCTCCAGTAGGCTAATTAGCATAGCCATAGTAAACTAAGCATCGTCATCCACCGTAGCAAAAGCATTATGTTCTTTTCTAAGCCTTGTGGACTTATTCACCATTATTGTTCA